TCAGCTCCTAGCGAAACCCCGAATACTTCAGTTGTATTGCAGCAATATGATGGCTGACCTTTGAATATTTTACCTATAAGGGCAAGGACAATGAATTCTGTCTGCAGTAGGATCTGTCCTCCTACTCACTATTCTATCTGTGAGTAGGAGAAAAGTTTCAGTTAAGGGGAAAACCTTTAGAATAGTTAATGTGAAAACTAAACCTGCAGCAACAAAAACTGGTGTTCTGCCTAAGGATTTTTAGTGAAATGCAAGTAATATAGAATTTTATTTTGTATTTTATTTGCTGTTCTGCTTTGTAGGTAGGAGCTTGACCATGTATTTTCATTTAAGTTTGATTTGTTTTCAGGTGGAATAATAGAAGCCTTTTAATAGTAATGGAAAGTAACCATGTTTACTGAGCTGCAGAAGTGTTCTACCCAGTAGAAACAATATTCTTATTATAGCAAATATTTAGCCATGAAATACATGTAGCAGATTGTGACTTCTGTCATTCAAAGAACTACTGGTTTATGACACAAGTCAAATTAATGGGCAAAAGTTTTAAAGAGGGATTCCTCTTCCCAGCTTTGTCTATTTTCTTGAACACTAAGAAATAAAAAAAAGAAAGTGAGGACTTCAATTCTGCCTTAGTCGAGAAACCTGTGATGATGAGGAGTATAAATATTAAGACTACAAAAACACATAACTCAGATAATATGTATATGCGACTGACAGTCACAGTGTTTCCAGTTACTGTCTGCTGTATGAAGTAGGATATGTCTTCTGGATATTTGTAGCAAGCAGTACAGTTTTTGGTTGTATCAAAAAAATGGAAGGATGTAACAACACCAATGTCATTAGTGATTTCATAACACCTTGCAGATTTTGATTAAAATCTGCCATGGCTTCAGAACTTGACTGTGCTTTCAGAGATCAGACTTAGAGATACGTATAGCCAAGTTTAAAATTAAAGTAAAAATCTATCTGTCAGAAGTAATCAGATATTTGACATGTCAAAAATTCAATTCCATCTGAACTGAAGCAATTACAGTTTCCTTTCAACCATGGACTCAAGGCACTTTTGTGTGTGTTTGGATCTAGAACAAGATTAAGAAATGGGGAAGCTGTCATGGTCCTAATTTACTTGCTAGTACTTTATCTTAGGGTAACATCAACTTTCTTTAAGAGAGAAAGGATAAAGTTTGGTGGGTTTTTTTGTGGCTGGGCACTAAAATGAAAGTCAGGTTTGTTTACAGCATGTGGCATTTCTTGTGTGGCTCTTGCATTTTCAAAATACTGGTGTGGTTATTTACTGCTTTCTTGAGATTTTAGGCAGCTTGTGCTAGTAGACTGTTTTGTTGTACACAGAACACAGCTGTAGGAGAGGGGGAGAGAGGTTGAGTGGGCCATAATTTTCCTGTTACCACAGCAGAGCAGGACATGTAAGATCCTATTTCTAAAAAATCTGGCTCTCCATCCCTCCACTTAGCTCAGCAATCCCTGTCCATCTACACTGTGTTTCTGGTCATTCTATATAATTGTTTCTCAATTACTTTCTCTTGAGAATATCAAATTTATATTTAAATGTGTAATAAATAAAATTAAAATTTAGTTCAGGAAGGACAAATTGACCTAACGTAGCTGAGTTTTCAGTTGTGAGTTGTTGAATCTGTCACTCATTCAGAGGAGTTGTGTGCTGGTGCATCTTTCACAGTGCTGATGTAGAAGAGATTTTGTGTATTTTGCTGTGACTTTGTAGTATGCCTCCTGCTTTCTGTGACTTTGGATCTAGGTCATTACTGTGCTGCAGACCTTTAGGTTTTGGATGTCTGAATGGTCTCACAAAATTTTATCAACATGAAGTTTTCATCAGGAAAATGAAGATGATAAACAATTTTTAAATGTATGAAATTGTTGAGGGAAGACGGGGTAGACCTGCCATCTATCAGATTATTGGAGGGGAAAAATAGATTTGAAAGGAAAAAGAAAGAGAAACTGCCAGTCCACCATAATGTTTTAGAACAAGTGTTGGACCACAGGACAATTAGAAAATTTAGTACTTTCATTCCTGATCATTCTTCTTCACTCCTTACTCATCTATTTGGCATTCCCTCTACCAAGTTATTATAATACATCCTGTCCTCCTCCACACATTGTGCTCTCTGCCATAGCTTCATTTTGTCAGTTACTGTCTGTGCCTATTACCCTTCTGCTGGTCCCTCAGGTGCTTTGTTTGCTCATTCCCCCATTCCTATTGCTCACTATTCCCTGTCTGGACAATAATTTTCCTTCTCTGACATTTGTCTCCTGTTGCCCTGTTCTGCTCAGTTCAGCCTTGCTCCCTCACTGTTCTCAGCTCCTACCAGTTAGATCTGTCTTTCCTAATGTGCTGACTGACTGGATTTCTGTAGAGTGAACCCAAAGCCCAACACCTCTTAAGGGAAATTGCAAGAGAGAAGGATAGAAGATGCTGCCAAGACAAATGCATAAGATCACAGCAGAGATGGAAAATATAATTGAATGTGTCATCTATATGAATGTCAAATTTTCTGTTTGTTTCTAAGACTTAACAGGTCTGTAATACCTACCCAAAGGCAGAGCTGCAGGCACCAGAGTTTCAGAGATAAGAGGGATGTTCTGTGATAAGTCAGTTCAGTGGGTTAAAGAATCTCTGTATTGTTGTGGAAGATTATTACATGATGTGATATAGAGGTGATGGAGACTTTGTTCTGAAATATACTGTGACCATTTTATACTGGGGGGTAAAAAAACATTCCTATTTGTCCTCAGTAAGAGAGTGTGATCTTCCTGATCTCTGTTACACATATTGTTTTAAATTTTCATAAAGATTTAAAGTGTCATTTTGTTTGTTTTGATTATCACCAGAGAAATGAATTACTCTACTTAGAAACACTTTTTTCCTCATGTGCTTAGCCCTTGTAAACATAGTTGTTACTGCACTTCAGCAATAAATAAATGTCATAGGTGTTTCTGTCAAAATAATTATTTTGATTTTGGCTGCAATTGCACTATAAGCTATTAGTTAGAAAAGAATAATTTTATAAACGGAAAGGAAACTTCATCCTTGGCCTTTTAGACATGCTTTGTTTAAAAACAAAATAAATTGCAGTAAATGAAACGACATGTTTAATTACTGAGCCCTGTTCTCAATCTATTTATTCTAATCTAAGTAGCAAATATTTAACTTGTAGCCATTATTTTCTACCAGAAAGAAATTCTTCTAAGTGAAATCTCTTAATTAAATAAGCCAGAAAGTCTCTGCCAGAAGTATGCAAAATTGTATTAACACAAGACCCATAAAATGGCAAACAAATCTTAGAAACATGTTCTGTCTAATACATTTCTTTGTGTGCTTGTGGTAGTGATGATGTGAAGCCTTTTAGTTAGGCTCAGACATTCATTTCTTTATTTGTGGTGCTGATTTCTTAAAGCAACTTCTAAAGTTTTAACCAGTCATTTGTGAAATTGTTTATTAATCTGAGCTGCATATTCATGACTTAACTTTCACGACTAAGGAATCCTCGTCTCAGGGGGTTGTTGCTATTCTGTGTGAGAACCAGAAGGGAGAGTGCACAAAGCATGGAGACAGATTCTCTCCAGTGGTGCCTAGTGACAGGAAACAGGAATTTTCATCTGAGCAAAGACAATGCTGGTTTTGAACTGTGAGGGTGGCCAAGAACTGCAACAGGTTCCCAGAGAACTTATGGAGTCTCCATCCTTGGAGATACTCTAAAGCCTTTTTCCAAGTGGGTGACCCTGCTTGAACAGGTGAGATGGACCATCTGTCAGAGGTCACTTCCAACTTCAACTATTCTGTGCTTTTGTGAAGCTTCCAGAGGAAAGTTCAGGAATTTTTATTCATATTTACTCACTGAGACGAAATAGTCATAATACTGATATAGCAAAACTAGCACATGATGCTAATTTCTCATAGTTTTTTTAATTAGAACCCATAACAAGGGATTGTGATCATGTTTTAATGAAAACTTCAAGCAGCCTCATTGGAAGCACCAGAAAAAAAAAGAAAAAAGAAAAAGATGCAAACAAAAATGAACCCACCCCTAATAAGAGTTGAGGCAGAAACGTTGTATGTTCTTTATTAAATTCTTTGGATTGAACAGCAAAACACTTCTGGAAGAGCTGCTATTAAAGATCTTAGTTTTCACATGTGAGCCAGGCTTTTTTCTCTTCTAGCAGGTGAAAATAAATGAAGAATAGCTAGACCTGACTTTTGTATGCATTTCAGATACATCTTTCTATGACTTTATTTCTGAAATAACTGGAACACACTCTGAGGTAGATGTTCTGATGCTTGGCAGACTGGAAATCATTGGGAAAAGGCTCTTAAAAATTCAACACATCAGGCTACCTTCATTACAGACAACATAGTTCTAGGGGTTTGTCTATACAGCAAAATCAATCTATGGAAAACCATACAGAAAACCATACATGGCTTGTCTAATAATAATAATGATATAGATTATTTCAAATGTATTACAATTATGTCTTGAACATGAACAATTGCTCTTGGATTGATCATTTTTATGCAGTGTTACTCACAGGGGCAACCCATGGATGCTGAAAAAACACAGCTAAGGCCCTAGAAAATCATGAGATTAACATACTTATGTTACACACAATCTCTGAATATTCAATGTGGGACATTCATGTAATTGTGTTCATTTTGTTTTGAGCCTGCAGAGTTTCTCTGGGTCCCATTTCAAAGTTTTGTCAGTAAGCAGAAGTCTAAACCAGCACTTTAGATAAGCTTCTTTATCCAGGACATTGAAACATATTTGATTACAGAAAGACAGGGTACAAATGCTACTATAAGATGAGATTTGGCTGTAGCAAGAGCAGGATAAAATGGAATTTTTCACAGAGAGAATGGTACACTATGATATAATGTTAAATAGTGATTAAAAAAAAAAGGTAAAATGATAGAAATAATTTTCCAGACTTTCAAAAATGCCCTAACTGTCTGTTCCATTTTACAGGAATCCGATTAGGTCCAAAAGAAAACCTGAACATCCCAGTGTTATTCATGCCAGATGCAATCAAAATGTATGAAGCTAAGGTGGTAATTCATGTAATGAGAGAAAATGGTGAAAACTGGCCTTATGAGGACTCTGCTGAATTAAATAAAGACTTAAGAAGGTAATTTATTCTAATAGAAAGGGAAAAAGTAGTTGAAGATCCTCAGTCCTATTACCACTTTCTCCTTTGGCTATTTGTGTGTCGCTCCCAAGGGCAATCAAGTGTCTGGTTTTGAGGCCAATGAGTAGCCATAATAAGGTTTGAATGTATCATGCAGAGCATGCAAATTTAGGGTAAGATTTCTATCTGTTCCAATACCTACTTTCTCACTTTAAATAAAGGAAATGTAAAGTACTAGCTGCAGGTGCAGTTATGGATATTGAGCAAATGAAAACTCTTAGGTACCCCTAATTTTTTCAGTATTTTGGGGCTAATAATGATTCTCATCTGGATATGTTTATGTCATGCATAAACTTTTCCAGTGTAAACAAAACAGAATACAGATCAGGCCAAATGTTCTCATATCCAGACAGAATAATCAAATACACTCAACTGAGTGGATGTAAGTTATAGCTGATGTCATTTATAACTATTTGGTTGGATTTTATTTCATATTCTTCTCAGATGTGTTTAGCATTACAGCATGCTGTAATAGGCTCAGTAAAATAGTGTAACCTTTCTGACAACTCTGAAGTCTAGATTACTTTAGAAAAAGATTGCTCAGCAGTCTGTCATAATGATACTTTTCACTTATTTTCCAAGCAATGTCACTGTGGCAGAAAATGGGGAAATTCAGGGAATACTCTGGATCTATCCAGTCCATGGAATACCTGAAGCACCACTGCAGAAGTTACGTCCAGGTAGGTAATGGTTGAAAAAATCTTGGAAAATAAATTTAAGAAAATTAAATAGTCATTTATGTTCTTGCTTGCTTATCAACAGAATTTGCAGCGGAACTTTGCTGCATCTTTAAAATGACAGCATCACATATTAGAAATAAAATCTCCTTTCCCAATCTACAAAGAAAATCTAGATCTATTATTTTGTTCTCATTGTGGATAAAAGGAGCCAGGGCCAGTTGGAAATCTTAAGGCTTGTGCCCTTCAGTGTCCCAGTTAATGCTGGATTTGAGAACTAAAGGTAAATTGAACAAAGAGCTGACTCAAGGGTAGATTTCTGCTTGCATACATGGACACCCTTCTGGAGAGTTTACAGGGTGCAAAATATTGGAGTAGATGTTCACTGTTTCTCTCAACCTTGAATTTAGTTTCTTAATTGAAAACAGAATATGGAGTAGTGTGAATAGCAGAAAGTCTTCCACTTGCTCCTGGGAAGTAAATTTGCATTAAAAGATGACTGAAATTCATAGAGGTTTTGTTGTTGCTTATCTTGGGTATAGCAAATGCTTATAGATTTGATCACCCTTTTTTTGAGGTGTGATATAATCCCAGAACTGTGAAACAGGTTTTTAAATCTATAACCTTGATGAAACTGCAGTTCAATGTGTAGATGAAGGACAATTTTATACCAACTTGTCCTTTCAACTTATCTTTTGATGAGTGAATAAGTGCATATAATATCTTGCTACACTAAATATATTAAGGTATAGGAAAAAGTTCTGGAAAAACATAGATATTTGTACTGTCATTCATTTATATTTCTTAAGGACTCTACTTGTAGACAAATGCCAATGATGTGATATTAATTAGAGCTTTCATCTCTTTAATTTTCACTTTAATACCTTAAGGAATGAAACAGAATATTGTAATTGACTCTTGCCCAAAATGATGGTTTTAATGAGTCTCATTAGCATTAAAACTATGTATATTGATGTGAATGTTTGTTGTGTTATTTAAAGCTGTTATGTAATTCTCTGGCAGACTTTGAGCTAAATCTCCCCTTTATTGGGATGTTGTTTTCATTAGAATCATAGAATCATTGTGGTTGGAAAAGACCTCTACAATCATCCAGTCCAACTGCTAACCTAGGACCTCCGTGTTACCACTAAACCATGTCCCTAAGCATCTCATCTGCATGTTTTTTGAACAATTCCAGATAGATATGGTGATTCCACCACTTACTGAGCACCTAGTTCCAATGCCTGGCCACCCTTTCTGTGAACAAATTTTCCTAATATCCAATCTAAATCTCCTCTGGTGCAACTTGAGACCATTTCTTCTTGCCCTGCTGCTTAGTTACTTGGGAGAAGAGTCCGACTCCCACCTCACTACAACCTCCTTCAGGTAGTTGTAATGAACAGTAAGGTCTCCATTGGGTTTCACCAGAGTAGAGCAGAGGGGAAGAATCTCCTCTTTGGACCTGCTGTCCACACTCCTGTGGATTCAGCCCAGGATTCCATTGGTTTCTGGGCTGAGCTCACTCTGCAGCTCATGCTGAGCTTCTCATCCACTCTCACTCCCAAGTCTTTCCCCTGACTGCTGGTTTCAATTACTTCCCCACCCAACCTGTAGGCGTTGTTAAATGCTTCTTTAAAACAGCAAAATTAAATTGTAGTATCTTTATAACTGTGCTATCCATTAGTTTATGTCCAGTAAATGTTTGTAATGCATACAAGGAGCACTGCATTCATGTTGAATACACATTGTTCTTTGACCATCCGCATGTTATATTGGACTATTTTTTTTTTTCTAAGAAAGTACTAGCTCTTTCAAAAATGTTACAGAAAACTGAAATACATGTTTTTAAGTATATTTAAGAAACTTTTTATTCCTACCTTGATTCTGAAAGCCTAGGCTTTTCAGTTATAAATGGGCCTTCTAAAAATCCCTGTTTTGTAATGTATGAATCCAAAGCAGGCAATAACAAGAAATCTACTTTAAAGGGAAAAAAAATATCAAAATAGTGCTGTCATTTCTTTTAATATAGACATTTATTAAAATTGCCTGGAGTCTACAAGCTGTTATGTCAAATACCAGAGCTACTTTGCTAGTATATTAGGCAGTTCATCTTTTGTGTCATTCTTATTTGCATCTTAATATACTTAAACTTCTAGAAGTCACTTGGCTTACTATCTCATGAGACCAATTAAAGTGATCAGTGGCCACAATCCATGTAGTACATGTTAAGTAGATGACAACTTGGATATCTTATAAAAGGATTACAAATGGAGGATCATCCAGGACATTTTTTTCATTCTTGTAGAGTCAAAGCAGCTTACAATAATTTAGATTGGAGGAGACAATTGGAGGTCACCTAGTCCAGCCCCTGCTCAAAGGCAGATCTAACTAGAGCAGGGACTTGTCCAGTTGAATCCCAGATGTATCCAACTTTTATCCATAAGTATTACTTAGCCATTCAGAAAAAAGAAAATGTGGTCATTTCTGGTAGTAAGATGAGCTAGGGAATAGAAAACAACGTGGACTCTCCACATGCACACATTAATCTGAAACACTTGGTACACTAGTATCATACAGACAATTATAGGTCATACATCTCAACAAAAAGAGATGGGTTTAACTATTTCAGTAACTCTTCCTCATGAAAGTTCTTATAAAGGAGCTCTAGAAATTACTTAGACCCTGTGAAACAGGAAAAGACTGAGGGAGAAAGGAAATTACTTGAACTTAATATGTAATATGTTTTCCAGAATAATGATACTGAATCGAGTTACAAAACTGAAAGTTGAAGCTAAATAAACATGGTATAGAAAAAAGTTTCACTGCTCATTTTTAAAACACTTTGCAGAACTACTCACCAGGATATGGTTCTAAATTACTTATCATTAATTCCTGATGTTAAGTTCAGCGTTAATTTCAATAAATCATTGGGTACAATTCTGATGAAAATGGCTTTTATATGCTGAAACTGAGAAATATGTGATCAGCCCTTCTTTTTCATCTTGTTTCCCATAACTCTAGAAAATTCTAAGTCTTTTTCTTTGGGAAAACATATTTTTCTTTCAGTTCCTGCATGTAATTTTCTCTTTTTTCTGTGCCAATAAATATTGAAAGAACTGTAATCAAAAACTATTGAAGTAAGCTTTATAAAACTAGTGTATAAGCTAAACCCTAACGACTTCATAACAAAACAAATGTATTTTAGAGGCAGGAAATTAAAATCACTTACTGAACTGAAAACAAGTTCTGTCATGCTTCAGATAGAAACTCACATGAGAATGCTTTTTATTCTGATATATTTCTATAAAAGCAGAAGTTTGGACAACAGTATTCTTAAATTAAGAAATCTAAGAGTAATTTCATATTTTTTTCATTCAACCTTAAAATTCTCTCATTTGTTTTTGTTTCAGTCTTCCTTTCTTACTGTCATATTTCAAACTATGCCATTATTTCTATTTGAACTAAAATGAAGATATATTTCGTGATTAAAAACAAGAGAGAAATTTGCAAGTGCTGTTGGGAGCTAACTGTAGGAAGAGAGTTTTGTTTGTTTAGCAACATTTTCTACTACTTCACCTAAACAGAACAACAGAAACTGAGTGTTGGGGACAAGCTTTTAGTTGTCTTGCTCCTTACTGGATTTCTGGTTTTGTCTAAGCACATCGAACTTGTAAGTTTAATTGTTTTGTTAAAATCAAGATGCCAGTGCTTTACAAACTGTGTGTTTTTGCTCTGCTGTAGCTGTGGTATGCTGTCAAGCCAGGCAGAGAGTAGAACAAAGAGTAGAAGTGCTGCTGACTGGTATAGTTCCTGCTGCAACTGCCGTGCCTGCTGCAAGAAGCTCTGCCATGGTCAATATAAATGCATCAGCCAACATCCAAAAAGTTGAAGTCACTGATGGTAAGAATAAGCAGTTTTGATAACATCCATGACAAATTGTCCCAGTCCATATTTCTACCATGTTGAAAATACAGGAGATTTGTTTAACAGTATGTCTGCAGCTATAGATACCTTTGAACCTGACCTTTTTTTTTTTTTTTTTTATGTCTTGGATTTAAGGCTTGCATACACATACCATCTCTCCTTTAAAAGAGAACAGCCTGCACAAAGGCTAAAGTTAGCAAAAATATGTCTGTGTAAGCACTGTCAGGAAACATTTATCTGCAGGTTGCCCCTGTTTGGAAGATGCATTCCCAGCAGCAGAACAATATCTGCAGCACAATGGATTGAAGGAGAACTTGTTCGAACGAAGCAATAAAGCTTTGTAAAAAGATAGCTTCCACTTACTATTAATCAGCAGAGAACATAGTGAAAATCCATTTCTTTGGAGATAAACCAGCTTTTCATATTACACCCTGCCTTGAAACAGAATGGTGCAACATATAAGTAGTAAGAAAAAAATACTTGTTACTGCTATATCCCTGGCAGTTCTGTTAATAGGTGTGTGTTACCAGTCATAGTCGCTGCAATAAATTTGAGAATTGTGCACCTTGGAAATTTAATATTCTCTTTTGGGTTCAAAGCCATCCTCCTTTTTAAGAAAAATGTTCTTTAGGAATTATGACATATAACATGAGGCAGCCTATTGTGTGTTTAACTTCGCTGCAAATGAGGGAAGGGATTTCACCCACAAGCCAACTTTGTTTGTGGAATGCACCGAAAGGTGGTAAACAATGAGTTTACAGATGTGACTATAATTGAAGTCTATTAGGCAGTCAGTTGGAGTGGCAGAAAAACTTGGCTTTTGTGTCCCATTTCTGCCATTTACAGTCTGTTCCAACAAAAGCTTTGCAGGAATACCATGATACAGAAATTGTCCTGCCAAGTAACTATGAAACACTGAAAAGCTGTTACAGGTAAATCAAGATGCATTACATCCTTCCTGTAAGAATGATTTCCATGCAAACATGCCCAGGCTCTGCACCCTAACCAACGTGGGCTCACATCAGCAATCACCATCCAGATCTTTGAACAGATTTGATTTTTGAATGCTTTTAAAACAGGAGGCAATCTGAAGCAGAACTGTTAACAAGAGCTTGCCCAGCATATATTACTGATTAGTGAATATTCATACTTACATAGTTAAACTTTATGCTTACTCATATTGCAGTGTAAAAGATAACTTACTGTCTGTGCATATTATTATCTTATACTCCCATATTATAGTGTGATAGTGACCAATCCAAAACAGCCTGGAGCAGAAAGATATAAATATTTAATAGCTTCAAAGAGGTTCTATGTACATAAGTCAAACCAAAACCTAATGTTGTTGGATACTAAAAGCAGCATGAGATTCACAACATTTTCTTCCTTGTATCTGAACTATAAAATAAGCTTTTCCTGAGTAGCATCGTGTGATATCACTGCTGAAAGAAACATCTGCTCAACAGCTGCAATTTTTTTCACTGTGGAATGCTCCAAATGATGCAATCCTTTCTCTCCCATTGACTGGCAATGTCTGAACCATCATGTTCTAGCATTTGTCTAGGGTGACTCCTAAAAGCCTTGGGCTGTGTTGGAATGTGAATGCAAGGCATAAACACTTGTGTCAAATAGAGAAACAGCAAAGGATGGAACAATGTAGGATGAGCCTATGAATGTTATAAACTGTAAGAAAACTCTTCATGTTTAATTTCATTACAATAAAGTACATTTATTGTAATAAAATATATATAAGAAATGGATTCATACATGGAGATCCTGTATATTTGGTACTCTGTGTACCTGCTATGACAAGTAACCCCATATGTTGGTAATATTTTGCTTATATCTCTGTAATAATCTGTGTAATCTTACATCTGTGTAATCATAGTATGTTAAGGGGTTGGAATGGACCTTATAGATCATCTAGCAATCTAGTAATAATCTAGTATAAATTGTACATAGATCTGTGAAGAATCTACTTTAAAAAATTAGAAATCTTTCAATATAAGCTGCTACATTTCTTAGGGTTAATTTATTTATTACAAAAACAAGGCAACAACAGTCCATGCCTTTTGTTAGCTGACAACGTGGGAAGGAAATTGTACATTTGAGAGAAGGAGAAAGGACTACAAACACAGGACAGTGTCTCTATACTCACTTAGATTTGGTTAGCTTTACAGATTTGCAGAACCAAAGTATGCTTTTTTATCAGCTATCTCAAAGTGCATTGTCTCTTGGGCTTTCAATATAAACAAATCTGTTAGTCTGTATTTTAGAATTCCAAGTCAGAAGGGAATTAACTCTGTAGCTGACTGGCATTCTTCAGCCAACATATGTATACAGAGATGGACACACAGCCATTCTGTACAACACATTGCACTTGGCTGTGCAAATCCAAAATGTGCCCTGAGATATGTGGTCATAGTAAAACGAAACCTCCTGTAGGATTCTGTGGTTCTGTGAAAACAGTCCTCACCCATAAAATGTGTAAAACTTAAAAAGATTAGCAGTTTGAGCTTTTATTTCTTCATAGAAATGTTCCCTTCTGTGCACAAATTACTATTGTATACTGAACATCTCAGTTTTCTTTATTACAGCTGGAGGAGACATTTGATTCAAGAAGCTCAGCTGTTTATTCTTGTGTTATTATGACTTGGCCTTTTCATAGCTGCTACAGGGAATAAGAGAAGAGGCTGCTAGTGACATCTTCACTATTTTCTCTATTTTGTTTGTTCAGGCTTGCAGCCATCAATGGCACTGATGTCCTTACTGACAATTTTGTTGTTGTTTGTGATTGTCCCAATGGCATTACTCGAAAATAGCATTGCATTCTTGCAATTTTCATTTGGCTGATGAGCTAGAAATATCTCACCTAAATGCAGAAGTGGTAGCCAGAACAATTTTGCTATTACCATTAGCATATCCTAAGTAAATTTTCCATCTTCCGTTTTGCTGGAAACCATAAGCTTGTCATATGAAATGGGAAGATTTTCCTGTGAAGCTAGAAGCAAATCACTCAAGTTTTAGATAATTGCTAGTCTTACTTATTTGTCATTTTTAGGAACAAATAGAAGAATTGTAACTTTTAGCCGGCCAACTGTGTGACATTGGATTTTGCACACACTGATCTTTTCCTCTTGTATCATTCAGGTTTCTCTGCAACAGTGGAGTTTCTGTATGAGTTGCAATATCAATCAAATGAAATTAAATCTCAGCTTGACTCTCTTGTTGGTATACATCTGGTTCAAAGAGAATGGGATACAGAATCCAGAATCGTAACACTGGTTTTTGATATAGTGTTTGCACCTAACAAACCAATGAGGTAAGCTCACCTTCCTCACTGCCAACAGACGTGTAATGAAATCCTGTCTGGTCACTCTTAGCTATATAATTGCATTCTTTTCCTCATTTTGTTTTCACCTCTGAGATCTGTTATTTGAGAATTTCTCACTTGCTGCTTCTCAGTATATCTTTAGTGCTAAAACTGGTAGTGTTTCTTTTTAATGCCTGTGAGATGGTTCTGTTGAGTTACTTCCATTGCCTGTGTCTGCATCATTTTACTTTGGTGCAGTCAGATGTGTTTGGGGAAGAGGCTGGAAAGAAGTTTCAGTACCATGCAGGCATACAGGAAATTCAGAGGCTCAACATTACCAGGATGTTAGGGAACAGTCACTGCAGGATATCATGGATTGCATGCAAAAAGGTTATCTTTAGGGTACAGGAGATTGCTCTTTATTTGCAGTAGTCCAGAAGTCTTGAAATAAACAAAGAGCAAACCTTTAGGAAAAACTCTCTACGTACCCCATCAGTATCATTGTGTCAGAGAAAGGTTAATTTAGAAATCTATTTTATTTCTGCTCTGTATTTATTATGGTTTGGTTTGGTTTGGTTTTTTTAATCTTCGTGTTCTCGAGACTTATCAGGCTTCATGCAGAGGACTCAATAACTGTAATTAATTAGTATCTTTATCTTCAGAATCTACAGCACCAACTCTTTTCTTAGACAGTCTGAAGACATCAGAGTCAGGAATTTTTCTAAAGTACATAGAGCTTCATCAGACCTATTTGATTCTAATATGAGCTGCTAACATGTTTTGGAAAAAGTTCTCCTCTAACACCACAGTAAATATAGAATAATGAGTAAAACAAATTTAGTTAAATATTTTTAATTCAAGAGAGAGTAAGCAGCAGAAGAATAAAATATCATGGCTGTGCCAGTCATTTTGCTTTCATATGATATTCTTTCTTGCACTTTGCTGTAAATATCCAGTCCTATTTAGTCTGCATTCCAGTAGAAATAAATACTGATAAATACTATGCCATGTAAAATTAAGGATATATTCCAATTTAAAGTCATTTGTATTTTCATTTCACTGTAGTTTAGTTCTACACACACAAGGCTTATTTTTGGACAGTATTTTATTAGTTTTATGTTTTATAATGTATGTCTATGTATTGAATGTTTTTATCTGAAATTTTAAGGAACAAAGCAACTCTGGTAGTGCAATGTGCTACAGGAGGTGTTTGGAAGTTTCCAGTGCTGTTCATTGCTATGGAGCCAGAAGTGGATGATGTGATCAACATTGAAGCAGTTGGGCTGAATAAGGAATCTACAGTAGACATTAAGCTCACAAGCCAGACAAGGTAAAATACTTAGGCTGAAGTACTTGTGCAGTTTTCTGAGCATACACCTCACACTCAAACACAGCAGTTAGAATGGATTTGGGCAACAGAAATATAACTGAGCTGCAGCTGTTTCATCATAAATCTCAAGAGCTGCATTGTATAAGTAACAAATGTGCTTTTGAAGTTGTGCTGTAGAAAACAGAAGCATTGGATCTATTTGGAATAGATCCAAATGTTTATATTGTGACTTCAGCCCTAAAACTCCTGGGTGTGTGCTAAACGGGGAAAACAATGTGTGTGGTGATATTAAAGGCTCATTCTTAAAGTCATAATGTTTTTACTAATAGATTTTTGTGAAGTATTTTATGCTTACAAGATTAAAACATTCTTTTACATTGTGCTTTATAAATTTTGTGTGCCACTCTTTTTAAAGTCTTCCTGTTGTATTCTGCAAGCGTGCTATGAATTCAGTTCTACTCTGTCCTTACACTAGCTAAAATAATGGCATCATTCTTCGGTATTTTCTTATTCTCTTTATTAAAATTCCTGCAGAAATCTCTGTTAATATATTTTTCACATATTTAATTCATTTTCTCAGAGTTTCACAATGTTTTGTCAAACTCATAGTGTCATTTGTATACAGCAGCAAGTCAAGGAATTTAATCAATTATGTTTGGGATCAGATTATTTGTATTAATACAGAACTGGGGGGGGGGGGGGGGGTTGAGCATTTTTACTACTATATATTCCTGTACAGAGGTATTTTGATGATTGGATTTATTTTTTCACATTAAAATACTGATGTCCAGCTCAGCAGAATGTTGCCTTATTGGTTTTCCAGTGCAAGTACTTCAGTAGCCAACATGAAACATGTGGATAGATATGTATAAATGCTATATTCACTTGGGAAATTTTGTATACTACATTCATTTTGAAGGTTTAGTCAGGGTGGTGGATAATTCTCTCCCATTTTAGTATCTGCTTATTTCTCATACACAGTTTTCTTTCCTGAGTTTGATTCTAGCTTTCCATGTACCTGTCAGGGATTGTTTCAAACATGTATGGCTTTCCATATGCAGTAACATTTTGTCCATCTTGCCATCCCAACCTCTCATGCCAATCCTGAGTTTATCACAAACAGGGTAGGCATTACATCAAGGAAACTTCTCAGATAAACTCAAATTGCTCCTCAGAAAAACATCCTTAGCACCTGCTATCACAACAGCAAAGAGCAGAGTTTTGATGTGGTCTCCACAGGATGGGATCTGCAAAATCCAAGGCTCCACCTGACTATGGAAACAGAGCTAGAATAAAGAGAGAAAAAACCCAACAGGTGGACTGGAGAGATGAGAATAAAATTGAAAATAGACTTTTTTAAATGTCTGCATGTGCAGACTGAGTTCTCTTAACCTACTTTTCATTGGAGGTTTTCCTTATTTCTTCTACGCACATTTCCTAGTGCATAGGATAAATGTTCAATTAAAAACAGTCCTTGATCACACAAAATTAATTCTGTCTGAAGAATTAGAGAGCAAACCATTTTGTTTCTGTAACCTCCCTAATTGTGAAGGGAAATACAAAAAAAATGTTTACAGTTACGATTTATGAACTATTTCTATTTAACTACTGCTGTATTTCATTAGGGCTAACATGAGCCAGAATTACGTATGCTGCAAGAAAATGCACTCATTAAGTTCCCAGCACACCCTCTCTCCCTCCCTCTCTCACATCGCTGTGCACGTTACCGGCCTGGATTGCTCTGCCAATCTCCTTGTTAGCAGTTCTTCAAATTCTACCGTTAATCGAGAGATGGAATTAGAACACTTTATCTTAGCATCTCCCACACAGTGGCAGCTGCAAAGGGCAAATGTTGACTGCACCTCATTTTTTGGAGCCTGAATGAAAACTAGTGGAAAATATCAATAGTGCTGCACATGCAGCAGAACTTTCGAAAAGTTCTGATCATCCTTCCTGATAATACAATTCCTGACATGTCACACCTTTAGCCAGGAGCTGTATCTAGTTGTGTCACCTGCATTAAAAAAAAAGTCACTTGCAGATCCACAGTACCCCTGGGCAAAACGGGGATGAGACAGAATTCTTGTTGTGAAGATAAAACCTCTAGCTCCTGCTTTGGTTTTACAACAGGTACACGACAAAAAGTCGTGTTAGGGTTGGTAAAACTTGGGAGTCATTTGTCATGCAGCATTTCATCGTATTTTTTGAAAGTCTTTCAACTCTCAAGCAGCTTTTCCAAAGCTACAGAAGTGAAAGTTAGAGTTAAATCTTTTCTGACATCCAGAGTCAATTAAACCATAGCTGGTTTGGGTATGAAACAGAACCAATTTTGATAAACAATGAGGACATCCTAATATTTTAAAATTTTTTTTAATAAGAAATTATATAAATCATGCAAAATATCACTAATAATTCTATAGAATTTGACAAATGCATGCAGTTAATAAGTTTAAAGGGCCTGACTGTGTAATGCCTTCAATTTCTTGTGTCACCCAACAGATGTTAACTGCAAATTACAAGAAGCAATTTTAGTTCTGATTAGCTATTTTTGGAAGCACATTGCAACATTTTCAAACCATATCCCTTATTTACTGAAGCAGTCAAGTATTTTACAGGTTAAGACATTTTTTATTCTACTTTTATTGAAAAATACCTCAAACATTTGATCAAAAGCACTATGTGTTGATTTTTATGGCTTTTCAAAATGCTGACTTTTGTATAGGAATACATTTCTACAGCAATAATTTACTGCTTCACTAGTTTGAGGAAGAGAAACATCCAAGCTACTTTGAGCCTTAACTTTATAAATGCTTATATTTTCAGATTTCAGTCAGGTATTTTATAAGTTTTGCAGTGTAATCTCTACAGTAATATAAATTGTAATGTTTTCTTTAATTGAAGGCATAGGGTGCTATTATATTTCAGTTTACTAATTTGAAATTATCTAACATGAGAAGACTGATGATCAGAGACTGATTATAGGAGTAAATATGTCTATTAAATACCAGCTCAATTTCCTCTCTTTCAGGTTGCCATGATTTCATTTGGCTATTATTATTTAAATTCAACCTAATATTTACACTTGTTCATTTTTAAGGCAGAGTTCATGTTGTCTGATAGGAGTTAAGGAACATGCAGGTGGGAAGATACATTTTCTTCCCCTAGTTTCTAAGGCTTCTGCCCTTACATTTACTATTCGTTTGTGCTTGGTTCATATGTGTTTTCAAAACTCTACACATCATGAAACTTTATAAAGTATGTTAGCATCTGCCACCCTTGAGTTAAACAAAAACCTTCTTGAAAAATCCAGACCTGTCCTTCATGGCTGAGAAATGACAAGCCAAACATTGACTCTAGAGCTGTTTTACCTGAAGGAGTAACCAAAAAGAGGAATTAAATTTTAATCATTTTAAAACACATGATTATTAATTTTTAATGACACACTAAATATACAGGCATGGAAAACAATAATGTCTGAAATTTAGGCATTATCTTCAGCTTTTTCTTTAAGAGAATGAGAAAGCAATTCACTTATGCTGGTGAGGTAGCCAACATGCCAGTTCATCTCCCTAATGGGAACATCATGAAAACACTGCTTGGTTTTTCACAGATGATCATCTTTAGATCTATTTTTAAAATAATTCATGATTTCAAGGGATTGTGGGTTTGGTTGCATGTAATTTTTTAATTGCTAGTTTTTATACTGTTAGCCATATCTTCATCAGAATCCCTGCTGGCCTATCATATTATAGTTATACATTTCATTTGTCAGAATTTCTATTTTATTGATTTGGACATAGTTTCTACTTTGAGAAACATTTTGCATCCAGTAAACTCCTTGACTCTTGTGTCAAAGTGCCAGGCTTTGGGGAGGGGAGGGGGAGGGAACAGTGAGGTGTGACTATATGTAAGTGTGTATGTATTTATATATTTTAGCCCATATAGAAAAAAATTATAGCTGCCTCTAGTACCTTGTGCAAATGCTGGCAAGAAGCATGCAGATTTTCTTTAAAGCTTTTTTATTAGCTTTTTTTCCGTTTTTCTTTATGAAAATTAAAATCTGACAAGGCTCTAAGTTTATTTTTCTCTGACTTTGGTAAATATCTTGTGTGCACAATTATAGATCAGTTTCATGAGTTTCATTTTAAACTGTCTGGTCCCCTTGTCTGGACTAAAGCTTTTTGTTCCGTGTGTTTTCTGATTGTTTTGAGGTCTCTGAAAAAAACCTACTGCTTCTTAACACTGCTAAGAGGCAATTTCTGTAAGAATTAAGTCCATATTTTATTGTGTCCTCTGTGTATGCAGCCTGTCCCATCTCCCTTAGCATTTCATCATCACATCTGTAGTCTAAGTCACACTCTTGTGTGTCTCACGAAGACACAAAGTGCTTATTAGGAGTTGTCATCCTTAAGTACTTACCAGAAAACACACTGAACACAGGAGATAAAGAAACTTCTGCCTTAAAATGCCCCTGAATGTAGTCTAGAGAGCAATGATGTTGAAAATGAAGACCTGTGTTCAGGTCTCTGTTTCCAGGATGAGAGCTTGAATATTTATCTGACATTTCTGATGAGAGCTCTGCTCTGCTCCTCAGCCTAAGAGGCATCACTTGCTTTTCGTGCTGTGCCTGCCCTGTGTGTGCAGTGAGTGTGCTGTAGGCATCCACAGCTGAGCAGTCCTTGTGGGAGAGAAAGATGTGAAAATTCAAGGCTTAGATGGCACATAGATGGGGACTCAGGCCATAGCAGGATTAGTGCTTCTGGCCCAGGGCTATAAACTCAGCTGCACAGCTTTAGGCACCACAAAAAGGCATTGTTAGCATAAGTTTGATGTCACAAGACTTGAAAGGTCATTTCAGACACTCAGTAGTTTTGCCCACCTTGCTGTCACCAAAAGGAAAAGCTAGGCTAAGTCTGCCCATGCACCCAGCTCCAATGGCACTGCTAAATACCAGTTAATTGGTTTGGAGGCAACAGAATCTTTTTGGTTTCTGTTTTCTGCACTCACTGTTTGTTTCTGTAAACTTTCAGTGTGACCTTTTTAACATGAGTGCATTTTGAATCTAGTAAAACCTTCCGTGAGAACATATGCCAAAGGAGAGCTATTTTTAAACCAGATGACATGGGCCCAGTGTACACCCACAGAACAGCTCTTGCCCAGGAAATGTGGGACATTTCCACAGAGATATGACTTGCCATGAAATATTAAATTTCACTTCTTTGTGAGGATTTCCTTTGAAAAGCGGTGTTATTTCTGGGGTGACAGTCCGTGAATAAACAGATTTGAACAGCTTTTTTTTTGAGATGCTGTTCAGTTTTCATTCTTCAGGTTTTATCAAATGAAAATGTGTTCCCACTAAGCATGTATGATACTTGCCCTGCTGGACAGTGGCAGAGCCTTGTGGATTAAGTTTTGACTGTCCCATTGTATTTCTGGTTCCAATTTCCTGTGTTCTGTTTCTGTCCAGATAGTGATAGAGTTGTCCTCAGCAACACATCTAAAGAGTAAAAGGAGAATACCTCACCAGAAAATACAAAAATGTCTATTCTTTTCATGCTGAGAACATCTATGGCAAACAGTCCCCGAGGAACTGTGATAGACAGGCTGTAGTTTGGGATTGACCTAAGATTGTTTTGTAGTCTTCAGTCACTGTCTTTACCAGGAATAAGCATTTTCTTTGGCTCCAACAGCACTGCCATGAAACAAGCCATTAGGCAAGATCTGCAGTGTCTGTGACACAAATCCTTTGAGTTAAGACACAATAACATCAATAGGGGAACCTAACTATTATTATTGCAGTGTCTTAAAGTGTTCAGTTTATGGGATATGAAAAATGTGAAAGCAGTGATAGAAAATTATTATTTTCCATTTCTTCATTTCAAGGCTCTCAGGACTCCCTCCTAATCTGGTAGCACACTGCCAGATTGCAAATTCCTTTCTAGCCATAAAACTTAATAAAATGGGCAGCTTGTCAGTTTTATTTGATTAGAGGTTGGAAAAGTGAGCACTTTTAATAGGAAAAAATGGATTTTCACTCTGATAGGGAATTTATTTCTATCACTGTTATTATATCATTACAGGTCAGATGATTCTTTTCTTTCTGGTGGCAAATGCTATCATTATTCTGCAGTTATTATAATATTTATAATAGCATGTAGTTATGTTTGAAATTGATGACCAGTATGCAGGTCCCTGTAGATAAAGATTATATATATTTGTAAATAAACAATTCCTACAGATTAATTATTCTGTAAGTAAGAATGCTATTAATATTCTCTATTCATTCCATGGGCTGCCATGTTTCCTGAGTCATGCCAAACAGTGGCCTAGATGTCAGTGCAGATCAATTGTATTAAGACACTGTAAAAGAAACAAAAGTCTCTGTGCTTTTCTGCAGGGACCCAGAGCCATTCAGTGCACACTTCCTGGCAGGCAGCGACCCTGAGTTCCTCGTAACGCCACGTGCTGGAGAGCTGCTCCCTGCAGGCACTGTGGGAACACAAATCACCGTGGGGTTCAAGCCAAGGATGTATGGCAAGAAGCACAGAGCAACTCTGGTCATTGAGGTAGGTCTTCCTGAATGCAATACTCAACTATTCCTTCAGGAGTGCAAGAAGAAAAAGAATTGCTGTACCAGAAAAGCAGCATTGAAACACACAAATGTGTGTGCTGGGATAATTTGACTACTCTTCACAATGGACAAGAATAAAACTAAATTTTGAAACTTGACTCATGACATGCTGGAAAAACATTGTATTTTAATTTTGATGTTATCCCTTTGCCATCAGCACCAGAGGCTGATATTTATCTTGATATGTTTTATCCTATTCCATAGACAGCATGACTTTCACAGAGAATCAAAATAATCATGTTAAGAACTGGCAGAGAATATATAAGTAATTGAATATGTGATGCCTAGGTTATTGATATTAATTGTGTTATACCTCATAGGATCAAAGGCACTAGAAGCTCAGTACCAAGGAATAGGTTTTTTGAAGCAAGCTTCAAAATAAACAAAAATAATTTGTAACCAAGTAGCTTGTGCAAGTCTGAAGGTCAGGAAACAACAGTTTTAATTTATTCTTTAAAAGGAAACTGTTGAAAATGTACAGTAGCAGCAAACACCCCACATTCTCAGGAAATTGTGGCTTGCACTTTACATCTATTCGCTGCTTGCTGGCAATGTTTTCAGGCTACTATATTAGAAGTGAAAGGGCAATATTGATCTAAGAAACAAGATGGTCAAAACAAAGTTGATGAAAATATGCATGGCAAATCACTGTAGCATTTTATATAGTGATTTATGCAGTTTTATATAGCTCTATAAGTGACGAATTGTACAACGGTGAATAAGTTCAAATCCTGTTAAAAGAGAAGAAAAGCAAGAAGGTCCTTTCATCCCTCCTACTTGTTTTCTTTTGCTGTATTAGATGTCTGATTAGTTTCTTTGCATAAACAGTGGTGATGGTTATTGCTCTTTCATTTGATAGTTGACTGAATATATTCTGTATTGACAAAATGCTGTATCACACATCTACAGAGCTCAGAAACTTTTAATGTTCTGATTGTTCAGTTTTGTGGGGACTGAACTCCTGTTTTTAGGCATGGCACATATAAATGTATGAGTTCCATCACTAGGCTTAGGTTCCATCACTAACAAGGTGTCTTAACCATAAATGTGCCTGGAATGGGACAAATTCAGTGGTCAGTGGTTGTTATTACCTTCCTAAGAACTCAGTCAACAATACACAATTTCCTGTTAGGAATTTATCAGAGCAGATGGCCTATGCCTAACTGGACTTTTAACCATGTCTAGTCACACCTCAGTCTCTGTTTATGAGCCAGGGAGACAGCTCTTGACATCTTCACCTTTGGTACTTTGTGTGGATGTAGGAAGTCAGTCACTCATAGATATCAGGTCACATCTTGTTGCATCTGTTCTTGTATGTTCAAAATCACATCGAGGACTCTTGATGCTCGTAAGTGCATTTTGGAGACAATAAAACAGCAACACAGTATGGTAAAGAGATTTCTAATATTCTTACTCTAACTGAGGTATTAAGTGGTTTCAGCAATGTTTTGGTGCAACTTGTGGTTTCTTTGCTCTTATTGATAACCCTGTTGTGTAACTCTGGACTTCTCCCTTTCCTCTCCACCAAACTGGAATTCCTGGAGCTCTAATGGAAGCCAAAACTTCCATTACACCTGTGACTGTGTGTAATTCTGCTGTTGCTCTCTCAGCATTGATCTGAGATAAGATTTGACGACATGTTGAGAATACCTGATACTCATTTCTGCCTTTTGTGTTTGTTCAAATCCATTTCATTAGGGACCTGAGGGTGACAGATTTAGTTAGATGGCAAAAGCAATAATAAATCACTCTTATTTGGGGAATAATAATGGAGGCGATGAAATGCAATTAATGTTGGACCTAACACTGAAGAACATCTCTAGAGTGTATCCTCCTTTCTAGCCAACACACTGGCTGAGGCTTTGGGCTATTTTTGGAAATGGTGATGAAGCTTTTCTTTTACAGTGCCTCTCCTCTGATGCTGCTGTAGTAAAGGACTACAGAAATCTTGCTTTAAAATTTCTTTTGCATTTCTGAGCATAAAGTCATAGTCCTAACACTAACATATTTTTCTTATTAATTTTTTCAAATAGTGAGTAGCAGACTTGTAATTTTTGTGTGCTTCATTGAACAGTGATAATTAAGCTGTAAAGTAGCAGAGATGACAGTGTAAGTTCTTTGTTTTATGTTCATCATTACAATTGTGTTGTAAAGGAAAATGGGAGGTTAGGACTATGGAGAAAGATCCTACACTCATCTTTTTCTCATTTGTTTTAAACATTAAACCCAAATATTGTACATGCTAATTTTTTGTTTCGTTACCCTGCTGAGAATCCAATGCTGAGGAGCTAATTAGCATTGGGAAATATATTACACTTTGTCTCTACCAGAACTTAGTTTGCACATTTTATTAGCTCAATGCATATATATATATATATATGTATATATATCTAATTGAAATAATGTTGCTTAATTTATATTTTCTGCACACAAATCACGTCCTTCATGAGATATGTTGTGGATTCTTTAAGACTTTAATATTCATGAACACTTACAATAGATTTTATTAATGGCAGGAAACCTTGATTACTTTGCCAAAGCAATTAAAGTTCTTTAACCATCATTAAAACTTCTGTTCTCAGTCAACTACATATCAAAACAATTGAAGTTAGATAATTATTGAAATAGCTGTTAGGAATCTTAATTTTGCAAAAGTGACACAGAAAATTGCTTTAAAAATTTATGTCGATCACAGAATGGAATATAATAAAAAGCCTGTAAGGAAGATAATCATGCTTGTTTCTTTGAAAAAGCTTGTAGATTTGAAAGAGAACACCTTAACCTAATCAAGCTACGAGTAAGAAACTGTGACGTGGTAACTGAAGAGCATTTTTAAATAGGTATTGTTCCACAGTCAAACTTTTACATTTATAATAGGCTTCATGAAAACTGCAGTTCTAACTGAAAAAAAAAGGTCTTGCCACTAATGATAAATTAGTGAAGAGAGCATGTTTCTTAGATAAGCTATGAAGTGCTGTGAGGATAGAAAGGACTTCCTTGGCCACAGTGACATCTCAGACCTGTGATGTGCTGGTTCAGCTGAACTGCAAACCAGCTGAGCTGAGGGACTGCAAGGACCTGGGGCAGGGGGATGCCCTGGGGTGTCCTCCTGGAGCAGGAATCACAGCCAGGCATAGGGAGCAGCCAGAAATCTGGCAAACCCTTGGAAAAGGGTGAATTCCAGTTGGCTTGCAGTTAATTTGCTTTCCCTGTGCTGAGTTCAGCGAGAGACCTGAGCAATTGCTTTGTAATTCATGGGTGAGACTTCAGAGATATTCTAAAGCAGAAGGCACACACAATAAGTCTTAAATGATAAAATAGGTGTCAGAGTGAAGCAGATTGCAGGTAACATTATCAAGCCCTGCAGAAGTCAGGCGTGTGCACCTTTATTACTGAATAATCACTAACTTAGCCTATGGAAGATAGCATATCAAAACCATTTGTCATGCTGTTCTGGAAATAAATGATGCAGTGTGCCAGCCACAGTACCCAGGTGTGCTTCTCTAAACTTGTCTGTGCACACTTGCATATCTTCACAGCAAACAGGACTATTACATATTCAGTAGTTCAGTGAAAAAATTCTCTGCCTTGTTCCTAGTAGATTTCTTAATTACCATAGTTTAATGTTATTCTAAGTTGTATCTCTTAAACAGAACGAGCAAGGAAAAATGTAAGAAAGTTGCTAGATTAATTGAAATGGTTTCATATTAAATAAGACATCACCTGTGTTGATTTTATGATTGGTTTATGATTGAAAGCAGAGTGCAGAATCAATACTCAACATTTTTGATTTGCAAGCATGAGGAAAGGTAACTTTGCTTATTGAGACTATAGTTCTGGTAATGCCTAATGATGATTACACTATGGGAACCAGTGCTGTAGGTATTCAGGCCATTGCCAGTCCTGGAGGGTTTTGATTGTATAACATCTAAAGAATGCTGTGAAACAACGATATTTGAACTGCAGAAGTCAATTAAGTCAATTTTAATTCTATCTGGGCTAAGAAAATTATTTTTAGCCATCTTCTTCATTGGAAATTGGTCAGAGCCTGGGTAGGCATTTGTCTGCTTGTGGTATGTGGTGAGTGACTTTGCACTACTTGTTCGTTATTGCTTTGGGGTTTTTTCCCTCTTTCTTTCACTTATTAAACTATCATTGTCTTGATTCATGAGTTTTCTTGCCTTTGCTCTCACAGTTCACATATAAGTTTGGTTTCATTTCATTCTGTATACACTGATCATAATCAGTCATTTTTCTTTCAAAATGTATCACTCTAGTTCTTGAAAGCAGGTCTTTATTCCAAGTTATTTTGCATTTACCTGTCATTACATCTAGAAAATGTATATTCCTGGGTTTTAGTCTTTTGTTCTCCTTTTAAAAAAACCCTCCACAAATAACAGAAATATTACAAACCCCAAAGATATTACAAACACTGAAATGACCTGTCATTATGTCCAGCTTTGTGCAAAAGAAGGACAAAGCATTGCACACCCACTTTAGGCACACACATCATCAATTCCCTCACTCTCAGTGACTGGAAGTCCAAAGTTTTGTGTTTTGGTTTTTAGCAGCCAAAATTCTGCTTCAGGACACAAATGAGGGCATGGGAGGCAATACAGCCTTCCTAGTCATAGAAATAATACTCCTTGAGTCTGGGTAGATGAGATGTGCAGTAAGAATAGGAAGATGCCTGAGAAAGAATCAAGCATTACAAGACATGACACAGAAGCATATGTTCCATTCCAAGACACTAGTTATAAACAGGGAGCAAATGAAGAGTGTCATTTTCAATTCACAGAAATATGCTTCAAACTAGAGATTCCAACACAGAGCTGCAATTCTCTTGTGCATACTCAGAATCCCTTTCTCTTAGGCTTCATTATTTTAATGCAAAAAATTCCACCATATGATAATACCATTATTACCAGTACCAGAGCTGCATTTAAATCCTGTAGTGTAAACCTGAGGCATTTATATTGTAGTATTGCAGTAACTGCATTTGAAAAACATACAGAGGTTTACTAAAAGAAAATGGAATTTTAGATCAACTAGGGAAGGTAAATTTCTCATCTTTGTTGTGCCTGTTCCTGAATAAATTTAAATGTGATTTCAGTTCTCTGTTCCAGGAGTGCAATTCTCTTTCTGTGTTATTCCAGTATGTTACATGGAAAAGGATAAATAACAGTTGAAATCAATGCAGCCTCTTAAATCACTGACAAATTTTCAATGTGTTTGATCTCTGATTTATTTTTTTTTACATCTCTGTTCATTATTTTCAGACACAGTCAATGCAGTGGAGATATGAAATCAATGGATTGCCTCCACAGACTGTACCACCTACAGGGACAGCAAAACTAACTACCACGAGCAGTTCCGTAGGATCGACCACCGTTCGACAGCGCAATTTTGTACGTGAAAATCTGAAACTTACAACCACTGCAGTATCCTCACCAGTCCAGGGGGCACCTTTGCTCCTGAGAACAAAACAAGGAAAGTGAGGATCCATTACATTTTTGCTGAGGAAGAAATAAATTCTGAAGATAAAAAGAGGATATGTTTTTTTTTCATTTTTTTAAGCAGGTGTGATATGCATTGATTGTGTGTTTTAGATGGAAGATTCAAAGTGCCTGAGGCATATTAATAATCCTATTTTTCTAGAAGGGTTTTTGTATATATATCTAACAGTTTATTTGTATCATACAGATGTCACCAAGTTCTAAAGTGAAAAAAATTTGGAGTTGAAAAAAATATACCTAATATAATTCAAACTAATGCTTTGTTTTCTAAGGGCTATTAGTTTAGTAAGGCTAATACAGGAAGCTTCAATGAACATTCTGTGTGTTCAGCACAGTACACCCATGCAATCCAAGCAAGAAAACCACTCCCTGATCTTTTCCATGATAAAATCCAGATATTAAAGTATTTTGCTAAGGTGAAACAGGTTTACATGTCATATTTCCAGAACTTGAATGTCTTTCAGATTTTCTTGCTTTGGCAAATTTCATTAATTAGTACATCTTTGCTTTGTATCAAATTAGAATCCCATTTTATTCATCCCGTGATACTTTGAAATTTTAGATAATTATACATAGCACAGAAGGAAAATAAAATGTTCTCCTCAGTATTTTCTTGGTAAGTACATTTTGTAGAGTGCTTTAGAGTATTGAAATATAGAAGACTATGAAAAATCAGTGAGGAATGGGAACAGATTTTACCTTTTTTCCTAGAATAAGCAAATCAGAAGTGCAATTCTTAATGTGTTTCTCTTTCCATTTTTCCATCCAAGGGTGACTTTAGGTGGGAATTCAGGCTTTCTTTGCTCTTGATGTAATGTGTATCTCCTGCTTCTTTCTTCATTGAGATCATTTTTCCTGATTTTACTAATAGGACATAAATTGTATTTGTGCCTTTATTTTGATGGTAAAATGTACTTTGACAAAAAAAATGGCTTGGCACAGACGAAGTGCTTTCTTGGCACAAACACAGAATGAGCATCATTGCTCAGGAATGGGGATCCTGAGAACAACCTATGTAGGTCAGCACAAATGAGCACCAATAAAACCATTTCACTGCAATCTGCTGGAGGATTTTGTTTATGCCACACATTTTAGAGAAGCTGTTACAGAAAATGTTGGGAACATATAAAACAGCAATGGCACTGTTTAATATCTCCTTTTACATGCAGCCTGCCCCATTTTGGTGCAGAAACCAGGTAATCTGAAGTAAGAATAAAATCAGCCTTACAAATTTAGTACACAGCACAAGAAAGATATTGTCAATAGTGATATCTGTCCAGGTATAGTCATATCCATCTATGGATATACCTAGAAGACATTAAGAAGCTATTGCAATATTTATCCTTAATACTACTGGGACCATATATATAGTTAGATTTCATAGGAAGCCTCTATCTGCATAAATAAATGAAGCAAGTGTTTCTCTGGCTGTAAGAAATCAGAATTTATGGACCAGCAATGGTTTCACAACTAATGCTTGGTATTCAGGAAATATGTCAGTGACAACTATGTAAAAACCTTGTTTCCCTTGTATAATTTTTTAAAGTTTTCCTTTCCTAGTTAAAATGACACTTGTTTGAAAGATGCTCAAAATTCTGTAATTCTCCCAGAGACAGATTAGCAGGTGGCACAGAGGTAAATCACTTAACAATTACATGGTGCTCACTCCAGAAATTTTATGCACAATTTGCTTGCCTGCACAGATATTCAAATTCTGTCATACATTCAAATGTTGAAAAAATCCATAGGCAAATATGCAATAAAATGATACCAGAGGGGTGTTTTCAGAGGAACAGTTTAATCATATTATCTCTTTGTAAAGGGATGCATGCATAATCTATGTTTTCTGGACAAAATTATGGGTTTTTTCAATGTGTGCAAGGTCACTCCTGAGTTATGCAAGACACACCATCATCAGTTGAATCTGGACCTAATATGAAAAGTTTATTGCATTTTTCTTATTTCATAGAGCTTAAATAGAACTAAACATTTCTTCTGACATTAAGAACATACTTGCAAAACGGATTTAAGTAAAGACCATTGTAGCTGTGTGGTTGTAACATCTGCAGTGTTTTCCATATTGTCTGCATGCATTTATGGATCACAGTGACTATATAAACTGACTGTTATAAATAAATTCAGTTTTACTTCCCAGCTTGGTACTTCCATCAGTGAGGTGACTGTATTCTTTATAATGCAAGGGCTAATTCTAAGTATATCTTCAAAAGGTTTTTAAGCAGTAGCACTGGAAGATTTCCAGTATGATCACTTTTATTCATTACTTGCTCCCTACTTTTTACCAGAATTACTGAGCCATTTTCAAAATATTGGAGTTTCAACTCATGGAAAGAAAGGACTGACATGGGAAAAGATCATAAGATGTTGCTTTCATTATTTAAAACTAGAGAATTTGCTTCAAAACTTTTGGACCCATTAAATCCAAACTTCAGAACAGGTGGGAAGCTGCTCATCATCACCCTGCACCTTAAAAATGTAATCTGCAGAGTTTAACTACTGGAAATATTTGTTATTACTGTAGATCATACCTCTTCATTTCTAATTGCTAATTCAATTAGTGATTTAAAATTACTTTTACTGATCCCACATATATTTTGGTTGCTAGAAATATCAAATTCACAACACAAAAGTCTTTCAAAGTCAAGATGACACTTATGGCCAATGTCTTAATCACAGCCATATGTGCCATCCATGAGTCAGTTGTGCTTGTACTGGCTTAGCAGAAGTGCTAGTTGTCTAACCAGCAAAGTCACCATGTGTTTATTTATATTTCTTCCTCCCTTCTCTTTCTATGGCTCCCTATGATGATTCATCCATCAGAGTAATTAAAAAAAGGATTGAAACCTTATGAAGCAACGTTATTGTGTAACATAGAACTTGCTACTTTGGGAATGAGGCTGACATCTAAATTTATTATTAAAATATTGTGCAGCTTTTGAAATGATCGAGATCCTGGTTTTATGTGACATGTCCAGTAGTGGAGACAATCTGCCCTAGGTGGTTGCAGGACTGTACAGTTAGAGTAGTGGCTTTGAAAGAGTACAAAGCAATCAACCTTCTAATTGTCTGATGTTTGGCTGAGCTTTATTTGGCACAGAATGACACGAGGGTAGCACGGAGATGTCATTAGGATGTCTGCCATGAGCAGCTCAGCTTGGAGTGGGTTTTGCTGTCACATAACTCAGAAGATTTCAGGATTGCTTGTTCTGCTCATGTCTGGCTAGCCTTGGTATCAATGACACTCTAAGAGTATTTTATACCTGATCTCACTAGATATAGAAAGGTTTGTGAGTATCAAACTTGCCCTTCAAGAATAATAAGAGCCTAACGTTAACTCCTGTGCCAGCACTGTCTGAGTCAGGGGAACTGAGAGGTAAAGTCTGCTTTAAGCACAGAAGGTAATCACCATCAGGTGAAGAGCCCATTATTGGGGCATGGGGCCCTATGCATTCCTACTGCTAGGTAAGAGCTATTCTTTCAAGACAGCTCTTTGGGCCCAAAGCCAGGTTAGTAGAGGACATAATGCTGAACCAACAATGTTCTTACTTCAATGAAATAACATGGCAGCAGCCAAAACCAAGCATGCACTTTTTTCCTCTTGGATCACAAATCCAAACTACCAGAAAAAATAAAAAGTTCTGACATATCCTGCACACAGCAAACATCAGAGGGAAAACAAATTGTTATATATTAATAAATATTTCTGGGAGGAAGGCTTAATATTTAGAATAAGAAACAAAATCCCTGGCTTTGCCTTACTATTTATTTGCTTGTGCAGCATTTCATAATTTTATTTCTCCCTGCAGTGACTGCTCATTCTAAAATAAATGACTGAACAGTGCTTTACTGCTGACACAGATCACAGTTTGTTGCTAATGGAATGTTAACTGCTTTTTAAGTAACTCGGAATAAACCTACTGATCCATAGAATATTCATCTAAAAAGGAATCCAATTCATCTACTAGCTTTTCTGCTTCCACTGACTTGAAACTTATTCTGCTGAAGTTTGCTGCAGTTATTGTGATATTGGTAGTGTTAAATTTCCTATAGTAGGATATTTCACATTTTGATACCATGGCATGATGCCAATGTGTTGAGGTCATGGCAGGACATGGATGCCAAGAAGTCTGTCCCAAAAGCACTTCTTGGTGGCTAGGTAAGTAAAGTGAAAGACATGGGGCAAGAAGAACCTTTGAGGTGTTGTTTTCCTCTCTATTCCAGGATAGTCCTTTGCTGTAGTGTAACACCATGGCACTGGCACAGTTCCTTGAATATGGAGAGAGTGTTTGGAGGGCAGAAGGCCAGTGAGGAGAGCCTGTAAGGATGAGGGTGCAAGGACAGATGGCTCCCAAGAACATAAGTGCATTAGCAGTGTAACACTACCAGCTACTGGCTCAAAACAAACAACACTGCGTTCATAATGTTGAAGAGATGGAATTAAAAAGACAAACACCTTCCCACCTCACCTGCTTAAATGAAACACACCTGTATCTGAAAAAGTCAGGCCTAGCAATGTCACTTGAAGGACAGAAGACAGTCGGGATGTTAAGAAGAAATCAGTTACCTAACAAAATTTCATCTCATTTGGTTCATATCCAGTAAGTATACAAAGTAATTAAAGCCCATATCAGGATAAATTTAGCAGGGCCATGTCTTGACACACTATATAACTGTGTCTAGGAAAAGTAGTTCAAGAGCAGTGAAGACAGTACTATTTTTAATGTAGTGCAAAGGTGACATAAAGAAATAACTGCTGTTGAACTTGTGAGCAGATAATGATCATTGTTTAAATAAGTCAAAAATGAGAAATCTCCACTCTGAAAGGTTCAGTAAAACATGAAGAAATCACAGAGTTTTCCCTCCAGATGTCATTCACAGATCCTGACACAAATACCACCTTCCATCCCTCACTGTTCTCCTTTATAAATATCACATGTATCTAAATATTAGCATGTGAATT